AGCAACAAGGTTTTGCACGCCTACCGGCGGATGAGCTTCTGCCCGACGGAAAAGACGTCGCACCAGGTATAAAGTATTGGAAAGCGACCAAACGTATTTTGCGTTATTTACAGGAACCAAAAAACAAGGCATAGTATACAGTTGCGATAACGAAATTCTTAAAGTATATTGTGATGCGGATTTTGCCAATGATGAAAGCATCAGAAAATCAATCTCAGGATATATTAGCATCTTAGCAAATGGTCCAATTACATGGTCCTCTCGACAATAAAAATGTGTAACTCGTTCCACCACCGAGGCGGAATACATATCAGCTTTTGAGGCTGCACAAGAAATAGTGTGGTTGCGTCGACTACTTAAAGAATTGTTAAAACAACTCATAGCACCAACAAAGCTGTTTATTGATAATCAAAGCGCTATAAAATTAGCCAAAAATGCTGAACATTACAAGTTAATAAAACATATAGATGTAAAGTACCATTACATACGCGAATGCATAGCAAACAACATACTAGAGTTAATATATGTAGCATCAAAAGAACAACTTGCTGACTTTCTTACTAAAGCTCTATCTAAAGAAAAATTCCTGAATAATCTTAAAGAGCTAGCTTGAAGGAATAAAGTCATAGACAAGTAAAGAAAATCCTTGAACGCTTAGTGGGAGTGTTACGAAATATATATGTAATCGTTCAATTTTACTTTTAACTTACTAAGCAAGTTTATACTCCATATTTCTTTTATATCTTTTATATTTTCCGCTCATTTTGTAGTTAGTTTTTTTTCTTTCTAACGAAGTCACTAATGTCTATATTAGAACTAGATCGCTAACTTTAGGCTTTGACGTATGGAAAAACTGAGGCTGGCAGGATTTCCGGTTTCGGCCATAACACCCTACAACAAAATGGCCGCTCAACAACTGCTCAACAACTGCTCGGCATTTTTCAAGAATTTTTACAATATTATCAATTTGTATCACTACGCCGGGTATCACATGTGCATACGCACGTACAGATATAAGGCCATCACACACAAAATGACATAACTGCATATGCATAGCATAAGACCGTCTCGACCAATGAACATGCTATGTAAATCAATATGGCACCTTTATGCTAGATGTTCATTGGTC